AAGAAGGGTAAGGTAAGGGTGGGGAAATTGCCAAGAACAGAGAAGAGCTTGTGGTGAGGCCCAGGGTCCGAAGAGGGCAGGGTTATGCAGAACTGAAGGATGTCCGGACGAGTAGGGGCCTTGGGGGTTGGGGTGGGGAGGAGAGGAGACAATATGGAGGCGATCACGGCTCTGCCCCTGGAGGGGATCTTGAGGCATGCCATGGGGTCTGGGTGGGATCCTAAGAGCCATATTGGGGTGGGGCGGGGTAAGGGACTGGAAGGATTTTCCAAAGTGGTCAGATTCAGGACGTTGTCACATGAGTAGTCACTCGGCTATGCTGAGGTGAATGGCCTGGAATGGGGCATAGCTGGGTTGGGGGTACGGAGAGGGAGCCTGGAGGCAGGAGACCCTCTTGAGGCTGTTCCTGAAAGATGATGGTGGCCTGGTTGGAGTCATGGCAGCAAGTGGGGAAGAAGACAGGTGGACACATCTAGAAAATGACCAGGTTGACAGGTGAGGGGCTGGTCCTTGGCAGGACGTGGCAGGGCCTGCAGCCTAGTCCCATCAGCTTGTGAGCCTTGGTGGCCTCATCGTGCAATGTCTACCTTGCAGGGTTCTTTGGGGGGGATCACATGGAGCAGTGACCATATCACCTCTTGTGCAGATGAGAGTGAGATGTGGCCGGTGACTTGCCCAAGGTCGCTCAGCCAGCACCAGAGCTTGCTCTCTTCACCTGCCCTGCAGAGCATACTTGTCTTGGCACTGATGACCTTTATTGGAGACCTGCTAGGGGAGGGAGAAGGAAGGTACTGTCTGTTCTTCCAGGCCGGCCCCAGACCTTGAGGGACTGACAATAAATGCTGTGTTTGTTTGATAAAGCACTTGGCTTTTGGTCTCGGCGAGAGGAAATGCTGGAAACAGGTGTGGCAAGAACAGGGCAGCCTGCAGCACAACGGTGGCAGGTGGAGTGAGACAGAGCCCCAGGGCCTGGCAGCGGGTGTCCAGGGCTGTGGATTTTGAAGAAGCCAAGAACTTTCTCACGACCCAGCCATTGCCCTCACGTTTCCAGGCCCCTGCCTGGCTTTAGAAACCAAAACATTAACAGTACCAACTCACGGTAATTGAAGTCCTCTCATGTACCTAGCCTTGGGCAGGCAGGCCTTCTTTCCACAAATGGGTGCTGGCCTGAGCTGCAGACAGACAGAAGCGCAGGACTGTTCCCCTGACCTTGGGGGATGACCTCCTGCTGGAGAGGTCTGACAAGAAACAAAGCAACATAGTGCAGTGATGGGGTGAGGACCCTGAGGATGGCTCAGCGAATCCTCCACACAGCCTGATGCTATTATCATACCCATTTTGTGGATGAGGAAGCCGAGGCTCAGAGGCTCAGAGGAGTGAACTGCCCTGCTCACCTGGGCGGTTTGGTTCTAATTTTCTTCAGCAGGGGGTGATAAGGATAAACATGGGGGTGGAAAAGGCAAATTAGAGGGATCCCTCATGGGTCATCTGGTTCAACCCCTTGTTGAAATGGTGGAGACAGAGATCCAGAAGGGGAAGGCAAGTGCTCAGAGGCACCCAGGAAAAGAATGGGATCTAGAAACCACTGACTCCCAGTCTCTCCTCTGGCCTGCAGAAGCTTTCCTGGCTCCCTCCTGTGAGACTCCCCCAGCTTGCGGTCTGTACCCCGGTCTGTACCCCGTGAGTGCCACCACCTCTTTTAGGCCCTAAACTCCCCAAAGCATAAGAACAGGTTGAGTTAGGACAGACCCCAAAGCCAGGCAAGGGTGTGTGTGTGTGTGTGTGTGTGTGTGTGTGTGTGTGTGTGGTTGGGGGAGCGTTGGACGGGGAAGGATACCTCACTACACCCAGGAAGTCCCAGGGGAGCCCAGGCTTGGGAAGAGACCAGGGAGCCAGGGGAGGGGCTGAGGGCCCCCACCCAAGGATCTGTCTCCCTTCTCTCCCTTCTCTCCCTTCTCTGTCTCCCTTCTCTGGCTGGGGGGTCCTGGGGGTGGGCTGCAGTGGGCAGGCTGGCTGCGGGCCCCAGGCTGCAGCTCTGTCCTAGTGTGGCCAGGAGGCCTTATGCTCAGGCTGCCTTCTGGAAGCTGGTGGTAAATGAATAACCTTGCTCCCACCTGCAGGGCTCTCTGGGACAAAGAAGCCACTCCGTGCCTCTCAGTTCTGACTTGGCCCAATCTGACACCCCCCTGGCACTCCCATAGCCAGAGACTGTGGAGGTTTAAGGCAGATGCAATCCCCTTAGCCCTTCTGACCCCCCTAGCCCCGAATTCCATCCCAGACAGGCCCAGAGAAACTTCTCCTCTCAGTTCCCTCCCTCTCACCTCCTATTGCTGAACCTCCTCCCTCTCTGACCCTTCCCCCACTGAGCCCCTCCCCTTCACTGAGCCCCCTCCCTCTCGTTGGGCCCCTCCCCTCACTGAGGCCCCCACTGAGTCCTTTCGCTTTTCTGAGCCCACTCCCCCCCTCTCCAGCTCTCCCTAGGAGGCGTCTCCATCACTCATTCCCTCCCCTTCATACTCAGTGTCACTCTCCCCCTTTCCTACACCCCACCCCAGGCTAGAAGAGTGGTTCCCCAAAGACTAATCACGACTGCAACCCCAATCCCAACCCCTCGTCCTTTCCTTGAATCTTACAGAGAATGACCGAAAGCTGTAACCTCCTTCTTCTTCCTTGGGTCATAAAGGGTGACAGCATGTCAGTATTCTTTAACTAGAGACTTTTGGGGGAGCCGAGAGGAGCATTTTACTGAAAAGTCTGGTGGCCACTGGGACCTTCCGCTTTAGCTTTGCTGCAGGCAAAGCAGTTTGAGATACAATAACTATTTGGAAATAATCCCAAGTCTTCCCAAGCCCAAATACCTGTCCTTTGACCCTCGATCCCTGTCATTTTGCTAACTTGGCCGAAACTCCCCTTATAGGCAAAGCTCTTGGATGCATGGTCTACATGTTCTGATTTTAGTTCTCATCTCCCACTCGCCTGTCTGCCGCCACGCCTCTAGCCAAGGCCACCAGGGACCACCTTGCTGCTTTGAATCCCCGGGCTACTCCTTAGGCCTCGTCTGGCCTGACCACTTCCGCAACCTCGGACACCCTTGCCAACGCCCTCTTTTGATCCTTTTTTCTCTTAGGTTTCTAAACTGACCTCATCTACTTCCCTGGTTTCGGATGCCACCCGTGTGCTAACAACAGCCACATTTACCACTCCTGGGTCCCAGGTCTCTATACATGTCCTGCTGCGTCCTGGACGTCTCTGCCTGGAGCTCCCCCGGGGCTTGCCAAACTGTGTACTCAAAACTGAACCCATCGGGCGCCTGGGTGGCTCAGTCGGTTAAGCGTCTGCCTTCGGCTCAGGTCATGATCCCAGGGTCCTGGGATCGAGTCCCGCATCGGGCTCCCGGCTCAGCGGGAAGCCTGCTTCTCCCTCTCCCACTCCCCCTGCTTGTGTTCCTGCTCTCACTGTCTCTGTCTCTGTCAAATAAATAAATAAAATCTCTAAAAAAAAAAAAATAAGAAAACCTTTAAAAAAAAACAACAAAACAAACTGAACCCATCGTCTTGCCCCAGTAACCTGGTCTCCTATTTTGGTAAATGGCACCAGCATCCCATCAGTGACCCAGGACAGAAAATTGGCGTTATCTTAATTTTTTTCCCCTCTCCCTCACCCCACATATCCAAATGCTTCTCAAGCCCTGCTCTTCTTGCTTCCTCCCAGCCCCCATCAGGCCGTGCGGAGGGGGGAGGGGGGGGTTGTCCACTGCCCCTGCCTTCTTTCTGGCTGCACCATCTCAGCAGGGATGAGAGGTGGAGCCTCTTAGATGGTATCCCCACCTTCATCTCCCTCCTTGAATCCTACTTCCCCAGGGGACTGCCGGAGACAATATTTTATTTTATTTTATTTATTTATTTTTTAAAAAGACTTATTTATTTATTTGAGAGAGAGAGAATGAGAGAGAGCATGAGAGGGAGGAGGGTCAGAGGGAGAAGCAGACTCCCCGCGGAGCAGGGAGCCCGATGCGGGACTCGATCCCGGGACTCCAGGATCATGACCTGAGCCGAAGGCAGTCGCTTAACCAACTGAGCCACCCAGGCGCCCTGTGGGAGACACTATTTTAGAGCATAAATCTGACCAGGTGTGTCCTTCCCTGACTCCCAAAACACCGGAATAAGGTACAGAGTTCATAATTTCACACATGAGACTCCATGACTTGGCCTCCTCCGGGCCCCTGTGCCTCATCCCATTCTCTCTTGCACCTAGCTATCTGTCCAGCCTTGGGGGATCTCTCTTTCCTGGTCTGGGGCACAGGCCCCCTTTCCTGCTGCCTGACCCTCCTGAGCTTTCTCCGAGAAACAAGTGCTTCCAAGGCTTGTTAAACTCAAGCCCTAGAGTGTCACCAGAGGTCCTGAGTCATTTCTCTCTCCTGCTCGGGGCCCCGGGAAGAAAATGAGGCCCCTCTCTCATCTCTCCTCCAGGTGAGAATATTCTGCCCAGCTTTACTTTTGATGCTGTTTTACAAAAACAATAGGTCTTTTTGTTCTCCTCTCCCCAATATGAAATCATGGCACTGAATGCGCTCTTTCATACGCACAGGGAAGATTCGCTGTGCAGCCATACCGGGGAGGACTAGGAGTACAATACCCGGATAGCACAGACTAGAGAAGAGCCCCCCCCCACCCTTCTCCCACCTCCCCCACGCCTCTCTGTCCACCCAGCAGGCTGTTACTGCCCATACCCGCCTCTCCAGAGGGGGCCTTCAACATCTGAATCCGCAGGGAGTAGGCCAAATGGCCACCTAGGGCGCGCCCAGCCCAGCTTCCAGCCCCACTTTTCTCGGTTACCCAACCTCTACCCTCTCTAAGCTTCATTCCGGGCAGCGAGCAGCGGTAGAGCAGAATCCAGCCAAGGCCAACGCCGGCGCGGTAGGGGGGAGGGGGGCGGGGGTGGGTGTTCTGCAGGGAGGCGTAGGCGCGTCGGCTCTCAGGACAAGGAGGCGCCCGCAAATGCAAAACGAAAGGCTTTTATTGAAAAACATCAACTGGCCCTTTTCAAGACTGCGGGTCCCTGCCCAACGCGGGCTTCGGGGCCGCGGCCCGACGGGGCTGGCAAGCAGCGGCGGCCACCGCAGCCGCGCGCTCCGGAGGAGCCAGGTTTCACTGTCCGTGCGGGCTGGTCCCCCGCGCCGCGCTCCCGCTCGCCGGCCCGGGGGCTGGGGGGCAGCGGGGGGCGTGCAGCTGCGGAGGGGGCCGCCGGGCTGGTCCCTCCCAGTCCAGTGCGCGAGCTCCCAGCGTGCGGGGTGGGCTGGTCTCCGATGGGAGGCCGCACGCCGGACTGGTGGGCGCTCCAGCCCGAGGGGTGCCGGGCTGTCCCCGCGGCTGCCCCTCAGACGTAGTCCTTGCGGTCGTAGGCTGTGCTGGTGCCCGGGCCGGCGGAGCGCGGCGCCGAGTAGACGATCTTGGCGGGCGCGTACTTCTTCTCGCGCGGCGGGCAGGAGCAACAGAGCAGCGCGCCCCCGAGCAGCTGCAGCGCCGCGGCCGCCCAGCCCACGTACAGGCCGGCGCCCATCTCGCGCTTCTGCGCGTCGGGCACGAGCGGGTTGTAGAAGTCCCGGATGATGGTGTTGGCCGACCAGGACACGGGCACCAGGGTGAGCACGGCGGCCAGCAGGAAGAGCACTCCCGCCACGATGGTGATCTTGGCCTTGGCCGTGTCGTCCTGCACGCAGTTGGTGCACTGGGCGCCCACCAGCGCCACGAGGAGCCCGAAGGCGGCCAGCAGGATGGACACGACGATGAGGGCGCGGGCCGCCTGCAGGTCCTGCGGCAGCGCCAGCAGCGAGTCGTACACCTTGCACTGCATCTGGCCGGTGCTCTGCACCACGCAGTTCATCCACAGGCCCTCCCAGGTGATCTGCGCCGTGATGATGCTGCTGCCGATGAAGGCCGTCACGCGCCACATGGGCAGCGCGCAGCACACGATGGTGCTCAGCCAGCCCAGCACGGCCAGCGAGGTGCCGGCGATCTCCAGGCCCATGGACATGGCTGCCGCGCCAAAGCCGGCTCCGCCGGGCGGCTCAGGGTGCGGGACGACGAGGGGCCGCGGCCGCTGGGCCTGGGCGGGAGCCGGGCGCGCCGACGGACGGATGCCTCAGCGGACGGACGCACGGACGGCGCGCGCTAACGGCTCGGCTCTGCCCGCTCGCGCCTCGGCAGCGCCTGCACCTGCCTGTGGCTTTGTGCGCGGGCGGCGGCGACTGGGCTGGCCCTGGACCGGGGCCGGTGAGTCTTAGATCCGTGCCCAGCGCTCTGGCGGGGGGGGGGGGGGGGGGGGGGAGGGGCGGAGCCGCGGTTCCCCCGGCCTGGGGACAGTGACGTGGCCCCGCTTCCCACCTTCACCGAGCGCCGGGGGAGGGAGGACTTTGCCGGGAGTGGCGCAAACTCGGGGTGGGGGGTGGGGGGGTGGGGTGCCAAGGGAGGGCGGGGCCGAGGCCTGCCACCCCGCCCCTCGCTCCTCGTTCCCGCCGGTTCCCAAGCTAAGTCTCCGGGGTTGGCAGGGGCTGCGGTACAAATCACGATCTGCTTGACACTCCGCGACCTCCCCACATTTTTGGCGCCATTGGCACAGGCGGCGTGGGGAAGGGGGTCTCTGCCAGCTGGCCGGGATCCATGGGGCCTGGAAGGACCCAGTGTGGGCGTGACCGGGGCTGTTCTCCGGAGAGGGCGGCTGCCCCGGGAGCTGCTCACCTGCTCCTCGGCCCCTCCGGCCCTGGCTGGCGCACAATCCGGGCTTGATCCAGGCCCTGGAGGTCTGCGCTCAGAAGCCAGGAACCCGCCTCTCCCCACCAAAGGCACCGAGAAGATGCCCCAAAGCAGTTGCTGAACTCAAATTCACTTCCAGCCCCACTGCAGGTCCCTTAGCTCTTACTCCTCCAGTGATCCTGGATACCTTCTAGCAGAGCTGCTCTCCCCTTCCAGAAGTCCCTCCTCCTCATTGGTTCCCCGCCTTCTGCACAGCCTTGTCCTCCCTACCTCTGGGCCCGAGTGAGTGCCGTGACCCACCTTAATGAAATGGTGGTGAAAGGTTTGATCTAGGCGAAAGTGGAAAGTCAGAGATGTTATTTGCAAAGCCCTTGCTCCTATTTTTTTTTTTTAAGATTTTATTTATTTATTTGACAGAGAGAGAGATAGCGAGAGCAGGAACACAAGCAGGGGGAGCGGGAGAGGGAGAAGCAGGCTTCCCGCCGAGCAGGGAGCCCGATGTGGGACTCGATCCCAGGACCCTGGGATCATGACCTGAGCCGAAGGCAGACGCTTAACGACTGAGCCACCCAGGCGCCCAGCCCTTGCTCCTATTAACCTGAAAAGTAAAACTGCCAGTTATTTTACCAGCAAAAATGGGTTTATTCCGGGAAAAGCAGAGAATTACAACCCAGGACGAGCAAGCTGCAGCAAAACCGTGGGTAAGTCCAACAAACAAAGGAGAGGAACATTATTTTATGGAGAAGAAGAAGAAGGAAATGGGGGGGAGGGGCTTGTTTTGAACAAAAGTCCAGAAGTAAGAGTTCAGGGTAATGAGGTTTTCTCATTAGCTGAGTGGCAGAGGTGGTCGATTTCTTATAGAAGGTGCCATATGTACATCTTTCCGTTTGGGGACCTATAACTGATGATTCTGTCCCGTTGAGATTCTTCTGTTGGGGTCTATAATTGGCAATTCTTCCTGTAATTGACATGGAGTAGTAGGCTCCCCTACCAGCCTCCTTTTCCAGCATCCCAGGTCCGCTTCAGTGAGGTTTCCCTTCATTAATTTTCACATTTCCTTCGTTGAGATCAAGATCTTTCCTTGAAAGCATCGCTGATCAAGAGTTAGGTATTTTGTATAGAGTGGTTTTGTCCCTCAGTGCCTGGAAGGACCACACTGGAAGGAAAGTGCATAGCAATTGGAAACCACTTAGGGCCACATTTGAGTAACAAGGAGAGTAAGGAGGGGGAACTCTCAGGTACTTCCCATCTGAAGTCTGTATCTTCTCAAGGTTATGAGCGTCGGAGGTCGTCTTGAAGTGTTGAGCCAGCATCACCTTATTGGGTACATTGTTTTTACGAAAGATTGATAGGCAAGTACAGAATCAAAAATAACATGACAATTTCAAACTGTATGTTGGTTCTAAACCGGGACCCTTGGACTGAAGGTAGCCGACTGAACATGTTTATTGGCACTTACTCCAATTTAGGGAAGAAAAGTTTCTCCCTATGAAGGCAAACCTGGACTCATGGATGCTTCCTGGAAGTCCCTGCTTAAAGCAGCTACAAAAGCAGAATAGTAAATATTGCACGAGGGACCGACCAATCAAGTGCATTGGGAAGATACAGTTTAAGTATCAACATGAAGCAGTAGCGGATCTCTTTCAGAGTAGCAACACTTCAGAGACTTTTTAAAAAATATTATCTCAGGGTGTCTGGCTGGCTCAGTCAGAAGAGCATGTGACTCTTGATCTCAGGGTTGTGAGGTCAAGCCCCATGTTGGGTGTAGAGGTGAGTTTAAAAATAAAATCTTAAAAAAAAATTATTTAAATTCAATTAATTAACATATAGTGTATTATTAATTTCAGAGGTAGAGTTCAGTGATTAAAAATAAAATCTTAAAAAAACAAAAACAAAAAAAAGAGGAGTGCCTGGGTGGCTCAGGCAGGTTAGCCTCTGATTCTTGACTTTGGCTCAGGCAGTGATCTCGGGGTCATGAGATCAAGCCCCGAGTGGGGCTCCCCGCTCAACAGGGAGTCTGCTGGACATTCTCTTTCTCCCTCTCTCTCTGCCCCCTCCCCCCGAAATAAATAATAAGTCTTTAAAAAAATAAAGAGAGAAATTAAAAAAATAAATATTGTTATCTCAAAAGAACTGTGTTGAAAAAAAATGTTATTAAATAAAACAGTCTGTAAAGTTGTAAGTTCAGAGACCATGGATTTGGATAAGAATCCATCATCAGTTAATAGTTGGTTTTTATTTTTATTTATTTATTTATTTTTCTTTAAAGATTTTATTTATTTATTTGACACAGAGAGAGAGCCCAAGCAGGGGGAGCGGCAGGCAGAGGGAGAGGGAGAAGCAGGCTCCTCAAGGAGCAGGGAGCCCGATGCAGGGCTTGATCCCAAGGCCCTGGGCTCATGACCTGAGCCGAAGGCAGTCGCTTAACCAACTGAGCCACTCAGGTGCCTCTTTATTTTGATTTTTAAAAAATTATTATTATTATTTTAAATAGTTTTTTAATTTTAAAAATTTTTGTCAGTTGATAGTTTAGATGAAAGAAGGATTTTTATGAATTCTGAACCATCTAAGCCTTCAGAAAAAAACAAGTGAAAAATTATTTTGTTCCGGGATCATGAGGAAGCTGTTTCGGAAAGGCCATAATCAAGACAAGAGGTTTCCCCCTTGTGCAAAGGCTTGAGAAATGCAGAGAAAGGGCATTTTCGTCCTATGGAAAAGAGAAAAAGGCATACAGGTTTGGTCCGGACATCCTGGAAAAGTTGTCTTGTTAGATGCCCTTCGTTTCAGTTCTGGGCAATCTTTGCTTTTCAAGGCACCAGATGGTGTGTAGGTCCTGTCAGGATTTGGTGCCTTTTTCTTTCTTTCTTTCTTTCTTTCTTTCTTCTTTCTTTCTTCTTTCTTCTTTCTTTCTTTCTTTCTTTCTTTCTTTCTTTCTTTCTTTCTTTCTTTCTTCTTTCTTTCTTCTTTCTTCTTTCTTTCTTTCTTTCTTCCTTCCTTCCTTCCTTCCTTCCTTCCTTCCTTCCTTCCTTCCTTTCTTTCTTCTTTCTTTCTTTCTTTCTCTCTCTCTCTCTCTCTTTCTTTCTTTCTTTCTAAGATTTTATCCATTTATTTGAGAGAGAGAGCAAGCGGGGGGAGGGAGAGGGACAACCAGACTCCACGCTGGGCGTGGAGCCTGATCTCACAACCCTGAGATCATGACCTGAGCTGAAATCAAGAGTCAGACACTTAACCGACTGAGCCACCCAGCTGCCCCAGGGTCTGGTGCTTTCTTTAATGCATCACAGGAATCCAAGAGCCTATTCCCTGGCAGCCCCAGGGTTGGTTTGCAGTTTCTGATACGGGCCTTTCCAGCGAGTTTGATGAGTCTTTCTGGAAGTGTCTCTTCCAACTGATGAGATCTCCAGGTTGTAAGGTGTGCTGCTTAAGGGCATTGATTGTCTCCAGCCAGGTACCCTGTGATAATCTTTTCCAACAGAGGAAGCATTAGCTTGTCTATGAAAGAAAGCTTTGGTCCGGTGAAAAAACATACAAACCATGACTAAAACATATTTATCCATGAGATGGGGAAGCTATATGAAATCCATTTATATGAATGGGTTTCCCTGGATTATCCTTTGAACATGTGGGACAAATGAGGTAGGCACTTTTTGTGGCCTTAGGAACTTTTCTCTACAAATGTTGGTTCATGAATGCTATCATTTTGTCAATAGACCAGTTGTTTAATCCGTAGACAGTTGTAAATAAAAACCATCAGTAAACTGGGGCGCCTGGGTGGCTCAGTCGTTTAAGCGTCTGCCTTTTTTTTTTTAATTTTTTTTTAAAGATTTTATTTATTTATTTGAGAGAGAGAGAATGAGAGAGAGAGTACATGAGAGGGGGGAGGGTCAGAGGGAGAAGTAGACCCCCCGCCGAGCAGGGAGCCCGATGCGGGACTCGATCCAGGGACTCCAGGATCATGACCTGAGCCGAAGGCAGTCACTTAACCAACTGAGCCACCCAGGCACCCAAGCGTCTGCCTTTGGCTCAGGTCGTAATCACCGGGTCCTGGGATCGAGGCCAGTGTTGGGCTCGCTGCTCGGCAGGGAGTCTGCCTCTCCCTCTGACTCTCTGCTCATGTGCTCTCTCCCTCTCTCTCTCTGAAATAAATAAATAAAATCTAAAAAAAAAGAAGAAGAACCATAAGTAAACCATGAAAAATCTGCATTGGTTAGAGGAGTTTCCTATAATTGTCAATGGGTGTCAAAATTTCATCTGTCAGTGTTAAGCAGTCATGAGTCATGAGCAGTCATGTTAAGCAGTTTCATCTGGGTCCGTATGTAAGCCTTATTCCAAAATCAGATGCCCTAAGTATCTACCCTAAACTTGTGCAAGCTGTAGTTTTTCTTTGGAGACTTTATGTCCCTTCAAGGCCAAAAGTTTTAACAGATGGGTGCCGTATTCCTGTGAAGAGGTTTGAGGAGGGGAGCATCTGCATATTTTCACAAAGTAGAGTCTGCGGAAAACTTTCTTTTTTTCATTTTTAATTTATGTTTATTTCCTTAAGTAATCTCCAAGACCAACATGGGGCTCGAACTCGCGACCTCAAGATCAAGAGCCGCACGCATGCTCTATGGACTGAGCCAGCCAGGTGTCCCCGCAGAAAACTTTCTATCATCCAAATCAGCTTTTAAGGTAAGGTACTCTGTGAAATCCTGGGGCATTACTGTCCAGGCGTATTTCCATTCTTCCAAGAAAAGGCAAAAAGGTATTGGCTATCCTTATCAACTGGAATACTAAAAATGACCGCATAGATCAATTACAGTGAAAAATTTGCTTTCAGTGGGAATGGATGTTGGTAGTAGCCCATTGGGGTTAGGAACATCAGGGTGCTGAGGGATAACAGTGTTATTTATTGTTCAGACGTCCTGGACAGATCTCCATCCTTGGCTGTTGGGTTTTCTTACAGGTAAAATAGGGGTGTCACAGGGACTTGTGTAGGGAATAATGAGGCCCTGAGCCTTGTAACTGTCTATTATGGGCTTGATGCCTTGAAGGTCCTCTTTACGTAGAGGGTATTGATTAATTATGGGAAGAGGTTTTGAGGGATTTCTTTGAATCTTGATGGCAGGTGCATGGTGTTTCTGCCAATATCAGTTGAGGATTTTGCCCATAAAGAAGATGGTAGCTGATCTGGTAGGAATAGATGATCAGTGTCCCCAGATTCAATTACAGTGCAATCAGAGACAAAGTACAGAAAACACGCCAAAGGATCATTTATTTCTCCTGTTTGGCTATTTCAGTTTTATTTTATTTTGCTGTCAACTTCTGGAATTATTTCTCCCTTTTAGGAGAAAGAAATTCTGGCACAATACTTTTCTGAGAAGTCTTGGCTCAGTAAATGAATACGGGCAGAGGAGGTAAGGAGAAAAGGGTGCATATCTCTTAAAGGGCCTGGACAAGAGGGATAGGTTCAGAGGCAGGAACCTGTTGAGGTTTATTAGAAACCCCTATTATTTGAACCCTTATTATTTTAATACTTTGAGACAGGGGTTGCTTTATAGCAGAGAAGTTGAACCCTGAGAGTATAGCTTGGTGTCAATAAAGACAGAGACAGATTCATCCCCGGTCTGGAGAGGGTTTCTCCAAGCTGATTAAGAGCGAGGATTGGGAAGAGCCCCTTGTAGTTTCTGGAAGCCCTGACCCTGGGAACTGGGAGGACATTGGAAAGACCCACCAGAGGGCTAAAGGCAACTGGAGTGCTTATATTTGTAACAATGTTAAAAATTTTTTTTTAAAATGCCCTGGCTCTTTGCAATAGTAATAGAAACTAGAAGGTTTGGGGGGGCCTTCATTTGCCAGAGTTGAAAATTGAGAATTTTAGTGGCCTTTCTTTTAGGGGACTCATCTAGAATGTGAGCAAGCCAGTCAAAATCTGGAGTGGTCAGTTTTCCATTCCACCTTGGTCCTTTTAATTGAAAGAGAAAGATCCTGGTTCAGCCTGTTAATAAACATAGACTTAACTTTCCTGGGTGGTGTTAATATCTAAAGGGAGACCAGAATATTCTTTTTCTTTTCTATTTTTTTTTAAGCCCAACATGGGGCTTGAACTCACAACCCTGAGATCAGGACATGAGCTGAAATCAAGAGTCGGACGCTTTACCGACTGAGCCCCCCAGGTGTCCCCAGAATATCCTTTTTTTTTTTTTTAAGATTTTATTTATTTATTTGACAGAGAGAGAGAGGGAACACAGCAGGCGGAGTGGGAGAGGGAGAAGCAGGCTTCCCGCGGAGCAGGGAGCCCGATGTGGGGCTCGATCCCAGGACCCTGGGATCATGACCTGAGCCGAAGGCAGACGCCTAACGACTGAGCCACCCGGGCGCCCCCCCCAGAATGTCCTTAAAGGACAATTTGGCTGTAATAGTTATGAGCAGGTTCATCAGATTTCTGTGTGCAAGACGGAATCTTGTAATTGCTCGGAGGGGATTTCCAGCGAGTGTTCTAACGTTTTGCCAAAAGTTAGGGGTTTCTTTCTTAAAATCCCTTTCAAGATGTTACTTTCCTGTTCGTTTATCCCGTGCTTGGCCTGGTCCTCAACAACAGGCATGCAGACTGATTGAGATAAATCTGAGAAACCAGGTTGGTAGGTTTGAATAACTGTTAGATTCATCAGCAAACTACTGGGGTGCTCAGTCACTTTAGGAAACTCGTTTACTTAAGACTGGTAATCCAGCCTTGGTCCAGGGAACGTAGGAAATTTGAGGTTTATTTATTTATTTATTTAAAGATTTATTTTTATTTATTTGAGGGAGGGGCAGAGGGAGAGGTAGAGAGAGAGAATCCCAAGCAGGTTCCACGCCGGCACAGAGCCTGATGTGGGGCTCGATCTCACCATCCTGAGTTCATGACCTGAGCCGAAATCAAGACTTGGATGCTGAACCGACTGAGCCACCCAGGTGCCCCATACTCGATTTTTCTTATTTATTTTTCATTCTTTCTCTTCTCCCATATATCAGCTCCATTGGGGCATCCAGAATGTCCCCAAACGGGCAAGAATTTCTGCCAGTTTTATTTGCCAGGAGGGAGCTTTGTAATCTAGTAGGAACCAAGGGCACCTCCAAGGGAGATGAGAGACCTAAGGGTTTTTCTGGTTTGCTCACATCTTTCAAACCACATGCATGCAGCCTGTGTCCTCTTCCTTAAGTGCCCAGGCCCCGGGGTGATAGAAGAGTAAGGGAAACAGGGCTAGAGGCCCATGAGAACTAGGGTCCTGCTTCTTGCAGGGGCAAAGTTCTTGGGCTGGGCCTGTTGGGGCTGGGCCAGGCAGGGCTGGGAGTGTCCGGCCAGAGGGCCCAGCTGGTGCTGGGTGGGGGCTGCCCCTACAGGAGTTTCGAGTAGCCCGGGTTCATTTCAGTGGACTGCTGGCTGCTAGTTTCCTGGTTCGTGGGGGTGGCTTTGGGCCAGAAGAGGCCTGGGCAGCATGGCCTGGTTTGGGGGGCGCCGAGGTCAGTTGCTTTTGGCCAGAGCCTGGGTCCCTGGCTGGTGGTGCCCTGGGGGAGGGCTGTGTGCTCTGTCTCTCACTAGCTGGGAGGCTGAGGACAGTCATGTCACCTCTCTTACCTGAACTTCCTCTTCTGTAAAACAAGGAAGACAGTGTCCGCATGACCCATCTTGCAGGGCTGGGATGAGAATGGACGCAATGTGAGTGTAAACCAGAAAAAAAACTCAGGCAGGACACGCCAACGTGCTGAGAATGTGTGGAGAGAGCGTGGGGTGTAGTTGGACAGACCCGAATGTGAGCCCAGCTGCCCTCCCCAGCCATGTGACCTTGAGCAAGTGCTTTTCCTTCCGGAGCCTCAAGTTCCTCAGCTGTGAGGAGGGGCTTGTTCTGAGCTGCCTGGGTTAGGCGGGTGGGCAAGGAGAGGTGCCTGGCTCCTGGGGCTGAGGGATGGGGGTGTGCTGGGCAGGCCTGTGAGGAGATGTGACAGCTGGACTGGAAGCTTCATGCCCAGGGGCCAAACTTCAGCGACTCTGCAAATAAGACTTTGGCTCTGGGCAAACAGCTCCAATCAACTTTGTGCTTAATATCTTCCACGGTTCTTATAACCCAATAATAAAAAGACAAATAACCCAGTTTAAAAAATGGCCAAAGGATCTGAATAGACATTCAGAATAGACAAAGGAGACATACGAATGGCCAAGAAGCACATCAAGAGATGTTCGAAGCCATTAGCCATTAGACAAATGCAAATTAAAACCACAAAGACATGGGGCACCCGGCTGGCTCAGTCCATGGAGCCTGTGACTCTTGATCTCAGAGTTGTGAGTTTGAGTCCCACGTTGGGTGTAGAGATTACTTATTTGAGAGAGAGAGAAAGCATGAGAGTGGGGAAGGTAAGAGGGAGAAGCAGGCTCCCTGCTGAGTTGGGAGCCCGATGCGGGACTTGATCCTGGGACTCCAGGATCATGACCTGAGCCGAAGGCAGTCGCTTAACCAACTGAGCCACCCAGGCTCCCCTTAAAAATAAAATCTTAAAAAAAAACAACCACCACAAAGAGATACCACTTCATACCCACGGGGATGGATGGAATCTTAAAGATGGATAAGGACAGATGGTGCCAAGGAACTGGAGAAATGGGGACCCCCATACGCTACTGGGAATGTAAAATGTCTTGGCTGCTTTTGAAAAACAGTCTGGCAGTTCCTCAAAAGGTAGAGTTACTATTTGCCCCACGATTCCACTGCTAGGTATTTACTCACGGGAAAGGAGAAATCAGTTCATGCAAAAGCTTGCACACGAATGTTCTGTGCATAGCAGCATTATTCATAATAGCCCCAAAGTAGAGACATCTCGAGTGTGAGCTGGTGAATGGTTAACCAAATGTGGTATGTCTATCAGTGGAATATTACTTGGCCATAAAAAGGAATAAGGCAACCATACATGGATAAGCTTTGACAACATTATGGTAAGTTAAAAATGCCGGTCACAAAGCATGACACGTTTTGTGATTCCATTAAAAAAAAATATTCAGAGGCGCCTGGGTGGCTCAGTCAGTTAAGCGTCTGCCTTCGGCTCAGGTCATGATCCCAGCATCCTGGGATCGAGCCCTGCATTGGGCTCCCTGCTCAGCGGGGAGCCTGTTTCTCCCTCTGCTGCTGCTGGAGGCACTAGGTGTGATTGGGTAGAATGGTGTGTGTGTGTGTGTATGTGTGTGTGATTCCAAGAAGCAAAGCACTGGGAAAAGAGGAAGGGAGAGAAGAGTGCCTGCAGCTAGATTAGCCTGTTCCTTATCTCCTGCCCAGTGTCCAACCCCCTAGAGTCGGCATCAGGGCCCTGGGGCCAGCTTCCCCCGATGGCGGCCCCTGTGGCATCCTCCTGTTTCTTCCAGTCCCCGCACGCTCTGGCCCTTCCTCTACCCACCTCAGGAGGCAGTCTCCACTGGGACCACACTCTTACAGTCTCCAGCGTGGGAAGCCGTGAGAGCTGTGTGCAGAGGTGGGGGCAGAGGGGAAGAGCCCGAGGCTTGAGGAGTTTGGGGACCCAGATGCCCTTGCTGGGGGCAAACCATGTGAAGCTCAGGAACAAGGGTACACGGGGGACCCACCTGTGCCTACTGTAATTGCTGAGTCCTTGCGGGAAGTGTCACCCTTTGGCTGCAGTGTCTAGGTGTCAGTGTGGTGGAGGGTGTGTGGGTGTGCAGTATTGTGTATGATGTGTCCGGATGTGTGAGGATGAGAAATAAACAGTAGCGATTATGCGTATCGCTAAATGGGTGTTTTAAACTTTGTTATCAGTTTCATTTGATCACAGAGCTAATCTATGTTCCCAGTGCTTGGCCAAGGGTTGCAAACTGCAGCCCAGGGGCAGAATTCAGCCTGCGGTCTTGTTGGACCAGCACAAAGTTTTTCTAAAGCCTGAGTTAGAATGCTTCTAAGTGGGGCATGCACACCCCAGTTGCTGATGGTACCTAATATCTTTCTTTCTTTGTTTAATTAACCTTTTTAATTTGAGATCATTGTAGATTCACATACAGTTGTAAAAAATAATACAGAGAGATTCATATACAGTTGTAAAAAGCAGTGCAGATGGAGCACTGGGTGTTACACGCAAATAATTAATCATGGAACACTACATCAAAAACTAATGATGTAATGTATGGTGATTAACATAACATAAAAAAAAAAAAAAGCAATGCAGAGCTCTCCATACTCTCTATCAGGTTTCCCCCAGTGATGACATCTTGTAAAATTATAGTACAATGTCACAACCAGGATATTGACATTGATAGGACAAAGAGCATTTGCAAACTGCAAGGGTCCCTCATCTGCTCTTTAATCGCCACACCCCCTCCTTGTCCCTGGCAATCACTCATTTGTTGTCATTTCAAGAATGTTAAATAGGGGCGCCTGGCTGGCTCAGTCGGAGGAGCATGCGACGCTTGATCTCGGGGTCATGAGTTCGAGCCCCATGTTGGACATAGAGATTATGCAAATAAGTAAAACTTTAAAAAAAGAATGTTATGGGGCGCCTGGGTGGCTCAGTTGGTTAAGCAACTGCCTTCGGCTCAGGTCATGATCCTGGAGTCCCTGGATCGAGTCCCGCATCGGGCTCCCTGCTCGGCAGGGAGCCTGCTTCTCCCTCTGACCCTCCCCCCTCTCATGTGCTCTCTCTCATTCTCTCTCTCTCAAATAAATAAATAAAATCTTTACAAAATAAATAAATAAAAATAAAAAAAGAATGTTATGTAAATGGAATCACACAGTATGTACTGTAACTTTTGCTGTTGGTTTTGGTCACTCAGCATGATTCTTTTTTTTTTTTTTTAAAGATTTTATTTATTTATTTGAGACAGAGAGAATGAGAGAGACAGAGGGCACATGAGAGGGGGGAGGGTCAGAGGGAGAAGCAGGCTCCCTGCCGAGCAGGGAGCCCGATGCGAGACTCGATCCAGGGACTCCAGGATCATGACCTGAGCCGAAGGCAGTCGCTTAACCAACTGAGCCACCCAGGCGCCCCACTCAGCATGATTCTTTTTTTTTTTTTTTTTTAGAGGTTTTATTTATTTATTCAACAGAGAGAGAGAGAGAACACACAGCAGGGGGAGTAGCAGAGGGAGAGGGAGAAGCAGACTCCCCACCGGGCAGGGAGCCCCATGCGGGGCTTGATCCCAGGACCCTGAGATCATGACCTGAGCTGAAGGCAGACGGTTAACCAACTGAGCCACCCAGGTGCCCCTCAGCATGATTCTTCTTCATCCAGGTTGTTGTGTGTATTGATAGTTTGTCCCTTGTTATTGTTGAATGATATTGTCTGGTATGGATGTAAATCTTTTGTGTAACCATCTACTGCTTGAAGGACGTCTGGATTATTTCTGGTTTGGGCTATTATAAATAAAGCGGTTGAAAAACACTTATGTACAGGTTTTTGTGCGAACATGTCTTCATTTCTATGGGATAAATGCCTACAGATGCAATTTCAGGGTTGTATGGTAGTTGTATGTTCAACTTTTAAAGAAACGGCCAAACTGCTTTCTTGAGTGGCTGTACCATTTGTTATTTCCATCAGCAGTGTGTGAGATATCCAGTTTCTCTGCGTCCTCAGCAGCATTTGGTACTGTCCCTGTATTTTACTGATGTCATTCTGATAGGTGCATATTGGTATTTTGCTATGGTTTTAATTTGCATTTCATTAATGACTTAATGATGTTAGATATCTTTGCATGTGCTTATTTGCCATCTGTGTATCTCCTTTATCGAAATGTCTCTTTGTAGCTTTTGCTCATGTTATAATTGGATTGCTTGCTTTTTTTTTAGCTCTTGTGTTTTAAGAGTTCTTTATATATCTTACATAGTAATCCTTTGTTGAATATGTGATCTGCAACTGTTAACCTTAAAAAATAAAACTGCCAGTTACTTATTATTTTTTAACTAGGCTCCTTGCCCAGTGTGGGGCTTGAACTCGCCACCGGGAGGTGAAGAGTTGCAGGCTTCACCGACTGAGCCAGCCAGGCGCCCCAAAACTGCCAGTTATTTTACCAGCAAAAAATGATTTATCTGGGAAGAAAGGAGAATCAGAACCTATGACAAACAAGCTATGGCAAGTCCATGGGAGGAATGCTCTTTTATGGTGGGGGGGGTGTTGAGAAGGCTGTTAAAAACAAGTCCATTGGAGGAAACTGGGAGCTCAGAGTCTAGTGGCTTCTCATTGGCTGAGAGGTGACAGTCTCTCATTGGCTGGGCTGTTGCCGGGTCGCAGGAAAGCCTTTCCTCCTCCTGCTGGATTAGTGAGGTAGAATCAGTTTGCAAGCAGTTTCTTCCTGTTGGGTTTGCAATTGACCATGAGTGGTAGGACATGAGAGAACTCCCCCTACTGGTGGCCTCCCGACTCCGTTTTAGTGAGGTTTCCCTTCATTAATTTTAACACAACAGTTGCTTCCGCTCTAGCTTGTCTTTTTGTCCTCTTAACAAAGAGCAAAAGCTTTATTTTTATATATTTATCTCGTATCCGGAGACCTTGTTAAACTCACTTATGCTAGGAATGTTTTTGTAGATTTCTTGGGATTTTCTACATAGGCAATCATGTCATCTGTAAATAGGGATAGATTTATTCTTTCCTTTCTGAACTGTACACCTTGCATTTCCTTTTTTTGCCTTACTGCTCTGGCTACAGCTTTGGTCATTAGCTGAAAAAGGGTAGTGAGAGCAGCCGTTCTTGTTTCGTTCTGATCTTGGGGTGGAAACATCCAGTCTTTCACCATTGAGTAGAATGTTAGCTGTAGGTTTTTTTGAAGATGCTCTTTTTTTTTTTTTTTTTTAAGATTTTATTTATTTATTTGTCAGAGAGAGACACAGCGAGAGAGGGAACGCAAGCAGGGGGAGTGGGAGAGGGAGAAGCAGGCTTCCCGCGGAGCAGGGTGCCCGATGCGGGGCTCGATCCCAGGCCCCTGGGATCATGACCTGAGCCTAAGGCAGCCGCTTAACGACTGAGCCACCCAGGCACCCCGAAGATGCTCTTAATCAAGTTGAGGAAGTCCCCCTCTATTCCTATTTTTCAGAGAGTTATATATATATATATTTTTTTAAATCATGAATGAGTGTTGAATTTTGTCAAATGCTTTTTCGGCATCAGTTGAAATGATTATGTGAGTTTTCTTCTTTAGCTTGTTCATGTGGTGGATTATATTGATTGATTTTTGAATAATGAGCCAGTCTTGCATGGCTAGAATAAACTCCATTTGTCATGGTACATTCTTCTTATGTACCCTGCATTTTATTAGCTAACATTTTTTTTAAAAGATTTTATTTATTTATTTGACAGAGGAGAGAGAGCACAAGCAGGGGGAGAGGGAGAAGCAGGCTCCCCACTGAGCAGGGAGCCTGATGTGGAACTCAGTCCCAGGACCCTGGGATCATGACCTGAGCCAAAGGCAGACGCTTAACTGACTGAGCCACCCAGGCGCCCCCTATTAGCTAACATTTTTGTTGAAGATTTCTGAGTCTGTATTCACGAGCGATAGTGAAGTTTTCGATTTTGGTATTGTAGTTGTCTGGGTTTGGTATCAGGATAATATTAAACAAAATGTTTAAATCTGCCATGATGATCATCCTGTGACCTGAAACCAAATCTGCCATGATAATCATTCTGTGACCTGAAACCTTGAGCACAGCACGCCCCCACCCATTCTTTCCTTTTGTTTAACCATACCCTTAAGTACACCCTTGGGGCATAAGGTGCTTGATCCGCCCTGGAGATATGACTATGACACACATGATTCTTAAACATTCTCTTCTTGGGTGGTCTCCCAGCATGTACTCCCAGCCTCTAGGGCTAGAAAAGCGGTTCTTAAGGGGAGCGGAGCTGCGGAGATCTACTCATCATGTGGCAGTGCAGGACATGCTTCTGTTGGTCCCCTTAATAAGCCCTTTCTGGTCAAGCTGTACTGTTGGCCTTTTCTTCAGTGGTACAGCTTCTTCAGCCTTTGGAGGTTGTTTGCAGTTTTGCATATACTTACTTTTCATAGAACAGAGCTCCTTGTTCTTAGGCCTTTGGAACTGGACTGGATTACACCACTTGCTTGCCTGATTCTCTACCTTGCAGATGGCAGATTGTGGGACTTTTCGGTCTCCGTAACTGGCTGAGCCATTCCTAAAATTTCCCCCTCTCTCTCTCCTTTCTCTGGGTAACCCTGATGAATTCTCCAGTGAAAACTGGGCCTGGAAATTCTTTTTTAGGAGTTTTATTGATTTATTTATATTTTTAAAGGATTTATTTATTTAGAGAGAGCATTAGCAGGGGAGGGGCAGAAGGAGAGGGAGAGAGAATTCTAAGCAGACTCCATGCTGAGTGCGGTGCCTGATGTGGGGTTGATTTCATTATCTTTGAGATTATGACCTGAGCTGAAATTAAGAGTCAGATGCTTAACTGACTGAACCACCCAGGTGCCCCAGGAGTTTTAAAATTACAAATTTATTTATTTATTTATTTAAAAGATTTTATTTATTTATTTGACAGAGAGAGACACAGTGAGAGAGAGAGCACAAGCAGGGGGAGTGGGAGAGGGAGAAGCAGGCTCCCAAGGAGCAGAGAGCCCGATGCGGGACTCGATCCCAGGACCCTGGGATCATGACCTGAGCCGAGGCAGACGCTCAACCATCTGAGCCACCCAGGCGCCCTTAAAATTACAAATTTAATTTCCTTAATATTTACAGGGCTATTCAAATTACCTATTTCATATGGGGTGGGTTGTAGTTTGTGGTTGGTTTTTTTTGTTTTTTAGAAATTGGTCCACTTCATCTAAATTGTTGAGTTAATGGGTGTAGAATTGTTCATAATATTTGCTTATTATCCTTTTGATGTCTATAGGGTCTGTATGATAGCTCCTGTTTTATTCCTATTGGTAAGTTGTGTCTTCTCTTTTTTTCCTTTGTCAGCCTTACTAAAGGCTTGTCATTTTCATCATTTTCTTTCAAAGAAGCAGCTCTTTGTTTCATTGATCTCTATTTTCAAGATCTTCATTATTTCCTTCCTTCATTTACTTTGGGTTTATTTTGCTTCTCTTTTTCTTTTTTTTTTAAGATTTTATTTATTTATTTGAGAGAGAGAGAGAGAAAGAGCACAAGAGGGGGGAGCGGGAGAAGGAGAAGCAGACTCCCTGCTGAGCAGGGAGCCCGATGCGGGACTCGATCCCGGGACTCCAGGATCATGACCTGAGCCGCAGGCAGTCACTTAACCAACTGAGCCACCCAGGCGCCCATGCTTCTCTTTCTAAATTCTTGATGTGGGAGCTTAGATTATTGATTTGGGACTTTTCCTCCTTTCTAACACATGCCTTTAATGCTACCAATTTCCCTCTCAGCACTGCTTTATGAGTCCTACAATTTTGATATTGTTGTATTTTCATTTTCACTTAGTTTAATGCATTAAAAAAAATTTCCTTTGACTTATGGCCCCCATGATTTCTGATGAAAAATTTGCTGTTATTCTAATTGTTTTCCCTTAAAGGCGAGGTGTTGTTTTTCTCTGGCTGCTTTTAAGAATTTTGCCCTCGGTCTTTTGTTTTCTGCAGTTAATGATTATATTTCTTTGTGTATATTTTTGGGGTGGTTTATCCTGTTTGAGATTTGCTTTCCTTGAATCTGTAAGTGTATGTCTCTTGCCAGATTTGGGGAATTTTCCGCCATTATTTCTTCAAGTACTTTTCCAGCTCTTCCTTCTTTTCCTTATCCTTCTGGGGCTCTGATGACCTAAATGTTAGATCTTTTGTTACAGTCCCACAGATGCCTGAGGCTCTCTTTATTTTTCTTCCAGTCTATTTTTTCTTGTTGTTCGGATTGGGTAATTTCTATTCTATGCTCACAGATTCTTTCTTCTGTCCTTTCCCTTCTGCTCTTGAGCCCATCCACTGAGTTATCATATTTTTCAAGTCTTAACTTTCCATTTGTTTCTTCTTTATAACTTATATTTCTTTGCTGAAGTTTTCTTTTCTTTTCTTTTTTTTTAAAGATCTTATTTATTCATTTGAGAGAGAGAGGAGAGCACAAGCAGGGGGCAGGGGGAGCAGGCAGGGAGAAGCAGGCTCCCCACTGAGCAGGGAGCCCGATACAGGGCTCGATCCCAGGACCCTGAGATCATGACCCAAGACAAAGGCAGTTGCCCAAAGGACTGAGCCACCCAGGCGCCCTTGAAGTTTTCTTTTTCATTTGTTTTAAGTGCATTTGTAATTGCTCATGTAATTATTTTTATCATGGCTGGTTTAAGATGATTTTTGTCAGGAAGTTTCGATATCTCTGTCACCTCGGTGTTGACATCTATTGATTGTCTTTTTCATTCAGTTTGAGATCTTCCTGTTTCTTCGAATGATGCATGATTTTCAGTTGAATTCTGGACATTTTTGTATTATGTTCTGAGAGTCTGGATCTTGCTTAAACCTTCTGTTTTAGATGTTTTATTTTGACACTACAGGAGAAGGACAAGGGGCTTCCTCATATTGGCAGGCAGAAGTAGAAATTCCAAGTTCCCCATTTGGCCTTGATTGACATCTGGGGCAGGGAGGAGGGTGGCTCTTCTTTACTTCTGGACAGGGATGGGAGTTCTGGCTCTTCAGGTAGTTTCTACCAACAGCGTGATGGGGGCGACCTCCTCTGATACAACCCGGTGGCGGAGATGTGTGGTGGCTTTGTACTCCCCGGTGAGTGGATGGCTAACTTCCCCATGTGGTCTCTGCTGACACTGACGGGGTTGGGGTCGTCACCCCACCTTGGTGAGGAGTTGCTTGCTTTGGGACAGCCTTTGGAGGGTAGAAGTCTAGGCTCTGGATACACAAATGGTGTGAGTGCGGGTGGCTATTGTCTAAAACTTCTGTCTTTCTAGGCTGCCCTTTTCCTGGTCCTTTGACTAGAGCTTTCTTTGGGGCTTTGTCTGTGCCCATTGGTGTCTCCCAGTTGCCTGCTTCCTCATTTCCATGTCTGGGATACAGGAAGGAAAAACAAAACCCAGAGCACTCACCATGT